ATGGCATATTGCTGATGTGAAATTTCCATAGAAAACGACTTTAACTTACTATAGCCGGGGCTGTAGGTAGGGGGTGATCTGCATCTGCTCAACCTAAAATGGCGGAGACAAACTGTTTGCAACAGTGAAGCAACCTCTGAGCATTTTTTTGAGGTAGCAGATAACATGTGAGAAGTAGAACTGCAATCTGCTTCTAGCTTTCCTTTGGAAAACAAAAATCGCCTACCAATTTTCCTTAGTTTTATAAATGACTTTGTATTCCTGATGTGGCCTTGTATGCAGCACGTGCTGCGTGTGGCCATGTGATTTCCATGCCAGCAGCATACTACACAAAGATTTCAGTTCTTAGTACCACTGGTGTTTGATTCCTGGTCTAAATAGAAAATTGAGAAATTATCACGAAGACTTAAATGTATTAAGTCTTTAGTGTATATTGGTGGAGCTCACCACCTTGTGGAAAAGTAGGTTGAGTGAAGACTTACCAAGTTAGTCTTGGGTCTAAAAATTTCCATTTCACAGTACACCAAGTACATTTCTGACAAAGCAATAAATGTGGGTGCTCATCCTGAATTCTAGAGTGCATTTAATCTGGGTCTTACCATTTTATGCTTGCAAAATATACATACTGAAGGGTTTGGAAAATGAACAAAACAAATCCCTGATTCTTTTAATGGCATTCCTTGTGTTTCCTTTTGTTTTCTGTTTTTTTTGTTCGATGTGTAACTGGATTTTCAATTAAAAAAAGAGAAAGAAAAAGAAATGGCATTCCTTGATTTAAGGATGATTTTTAAAAATACTTTTGAGTACAGTGAGCAGTTAAATAATGGTGATATTCAAATAAGTTGCTTAGAGTAAACCAATTTAAATTACTGGCTGCTTCTTGCGGCTTCTTTGCTTGATCCAGAGCTTGAGCCCTTTCTATTCTGCATTTGCTTTGACCAGCATCTGAAGGGGACAAAATCCACTAGGAATTCAAGTAGCAGCAGGCAATACAAGACACCACCCATTGGTGCTTTCCACACATGGGCTATTTAGCAGCAACCAATCATTGTTGCTCTGCTTTAAACTGGAATCAGAATAGCAACTCTGCTTCAAATGTTCTGGAACCCAAACAACATTTTGCTGCCAAGTGGAGATCCCCCTTAGCTCAGCCCCAATTGTTGGTAGTAGGAACAGAAAGAACTGTCCATTTCAGTTCTGCTTCCAGTTCTTAAATTTCAGGTCTCCACATTTTAAGCCTTTTGTGAATTAAGGAGGAAAAATCCTCATGAACATTCATCAGCATTTTAGTGCAAATTTCTCTTACCATATTTGTATAAGCAGTTTTGACTAATGTACACATTTATAAGCATTTTTGCTAATATTTATGTTCGCTAATAATTTCATTTCTCTGCCGCTCAAAATATGTATTTTACCATCTGTTTGGAGAACTTCATCACAAAATTCGGGTAAGCATGAATTTTGAATGATAGTTGCATATTTGTTCACATATTCTTTCAGAAAGTGAAAATTAGATGGAGTCAGGTTTAAATTCATAAAGAAGCAAATTTATCCCCTACCCCTAGATGGGAGGAATTTTAAAAATTGAAACCATTATATGGGGGAGGGAGTTAAATACTCCACCCCCATCACTGAACTCCAA